TACCCTTTTTCACCATCTTGAATCTCTCCTACACATTTTCTTCTTCTTCCCATATATGGGGGGAGAAGGTGATACAAGAGGAGAAAGCACGCCCAGCCTCCCAACCACCGCATTACCCCAGGGACTGGGGGACTGCCACCCGATGTCTTCCCAGGGCCCATCATGGAGCATTTTCTGAGGGTTCTCTTCATGTGTCTGCAATAGCTCTCAGATGCTGCTGATATCGCCACTCCACAGATGAGCAAATCGTTCTGAGGTCAATTGGCTGTCACAGTCCACCTCTGAGCCTCCTTTGCCCCAGAAATTTGCTGTCAAGTTTCACTGGAGTAGATGATCAATTTGTTCTGCTCTCCATCCTCAGCAAACCAATGGGTTCTGCGGCCCAGCCCAGGCCTGCCCACCACACGCTCAGCCCTTATGTACCGCAGGGGACACTGCAGCCCAGTCAGAGCTATCCCAAATAACTCCCACTGGACTGCACCCCTCCAGCTCTGGTTCCTGCGCCTGCCAGTGTGTGTACTGGACTGGTCTGGTCTGGCCCCCATCCCATCGAGATTTTTTTTTTAATAATCTTAGTTTATTAGGGTACAAAGGGTCACGGGCTACAGGGTGAAAGTGGGTAATATCATTGTTTCCACACTAATATAATCATTTTGCCCTGTATCTGGGGCTAGGGGAGTAACAAAGGGAAAAGCCCCACCCTACTTCCCACCCATCCCGCATCCCCAACATGAGGCGCTCTCCAAGGGTCCTGCTCAAACAGTTTTGATAGTTCATCAGTTCTGGATTGCTGCCAATCTCACCGTCCCAACCGCAATGAAACCTATTCAGAGTCCACTGGCTGACAGTCTCTTGATGGTTGGGGTTCCACGATCAGCAGTTCAGTTGGAGAGATATCCAAAGAAACCTCATCTGAGTTGATCCCAGATCTGATTCTTGAGTGAGTTTGCTAGTACAGACTCCAACACTGTTCGTCACACCAATCAGCTTATGCACATGCTGGTTGTTGCGATTGCTGGGTCCGTTCGGCTTCCAGCCCCGTCTTCCTCGTGAACCAATGGGTGTTGTAGTCCAGCTCGATTCTACCCACTTCATACTCGGTCTTCATGCAAACCAGTTGGAGCTGCAGTCTAGTTGGGGTGATTCCCCAAAACCCCTACCAGTTCTGCCCATCGAGATCTTATATACAGCCTTGGGCAGTGAAGCCTAACTCAATCCAACTGACGCCACCCTCCAGCACACACTCATGCCAGCAAGTTCACTGCCTGTCCAGCCAAGCCCACCTCAAAGATTTATTTTTGTTTTAATTTAGTTATTTATCTATGCATTTATTTATGTATATTTTATTTTGTATTTGAAAGGCAGATTTATAGACCCCCCCCACACAGCTTCATTCACTGGTTCACTCTTCAAATGCTGCCGTTGGGTTGGTCTGAAACCAAGAGCCTCCTTTGGGTCTCCCACATGAGTGCAGGAGCCCAAGGACTTGGGACATATTTTGTTGTTTTCCCAGACACATTAGCAGGGAGCTAGAGAGAGAGTAACAACCAGATTTGTACCCATGTGGGAAGCCAGCACTGCAGGCTTTATGTGCTATGCTATAGCACTGGCTTGATTTTCTTCTTTTTTCTCACAAACATGGGACAGTAAGTGTAAGATGCCAGTGAACGGACAAGGCAGTTCTGGGCATGCACTCATCAGCAGGTGTCACCACCAATGCCCCTGACAGCCCTGGAAGAAGAGTTCCTGCATTTGACAGGGGGTAAACTAAGGCTGGGAGAGGGGTGCTGGAAAGCCCAGATCATGGCCTAAGAAGGTGGCAGAGGAGGATGTGGCCCTGAGCCTGGGCCGCCCTGGCACAGTCCAGCACATGCCACTCCCACCACGGGCTCAGGGTCCCCATCAGCAGCTTGACTGTGTATTCTGTATTTGTGTCTCCCACCAGAAGCTCAGCTCCCCGCAGGCAGGGCCTGTATCCAATCACGGATATAACTAAGGCAAACAGAACTGTGCCTGGCACGCAGCACCATCTGCTGACAGAATGAATGGGAAAAATGGAAACGTCCCCTAGGGAGAACTGGGAGAAGTAACCTGGGGCCAGAGACGCCAAGCATTATCCTTCAAGGTCATAGCCAGGTCCTTGATTCACAAAGCATCCCTGCATCTCCCAACTGGGACAGCCTCCATGTCCCTGTCCTTGGCCACCAGAGCCCAGGAGAATAAGTGAGTGTGAATCAGGAAAGGACAGGATGAGGCAGGCAGGCCACTGTGGTCCTGAGTTCCATCTGCCCGTGCTGTTTGTGCCTTGGTTTCTCAGCTGGGAACCTGTGCACCTGCCTGTCTGTCATAGGGTGGACAGAGATGCAGGAATAAAGGGCAGAAACAGTCTCCCTCCCCTCGCTCAGCAGGCGCTGGACAGGCCTGTGAGGCTGGGCCCTGGGTCGGGGGTAGGGGGCTATGTTGAGAAGGCATCTCCCGCTGAGCCGGTGGCACCTAGATTGGCCAACACCAGCACTGCAGACAGCACGGGAAAGAAGCACCAGAGGGGGCGGGGCACGTAGGAATTCCCGGTGGAATCCAGTCTTGCCTCCTTCTCCGGCTATAGGGAGACTTGGATGAGTACCAGGACCTCTTGCTATGTCTTGACCCAGAGAAGTCAGGCTCTCCACCTGGAGTGCACAGCCACCCAGGCAGAGCCAGGCGCTGTCAATCCCACCTCCTGCTCCTCACAGACACCCCACTGACAGCGGCGGGAGAGCTGTGAGATGCCCCACAGCGAGCAGGGGCCAGGCAGACACAGGAGCCAGATGGGGCCTGACAGCAGAGGTGGAGCTGGAGGCAGCAGGTGTGGGAGCCTGGGTGTGGGCGTGGATGCCACAGCGAGGACGCTGCTATTAGACCTCAAGGGGCTGCTGGGGCCTGGGCCTCCGAGAGCGTGGGAGGCCCGTGTGTGCATGTGAGCCTCCATGCAGCCGCAGTCCTACCCAGCACAGACCCACCCTGCCTCCGCAGGAGCCTTGTGCTGCTGGCGGCAGGAGTGTAGCCCAGTGGGAAGGTCCTGCTGCCCGCCTGCAGCCCGGCCTCCCTGGACACAGCTCTGCTGGGAACCTGCAGGGTCCCAGATCCTGATGACGCACGCACGGATGGCAGGGGAAGAAGCTGGGAATGGGGATCGGACACGGAGGTCACCCTGCATGGAATGAGACCGGCAAATGAGGCTTGGACTGAATGAGGAATACAAAATCCATGAATGGTCTAAGGCCAGATTTTTACCCTAAAAAGCAGTAGGAACACCTCAGGTTGGGTTTTAGACTGATTCTGGGTTCCATGTGTGGCCAAGAATGCACACATCCCTTCCCATCCACAGATAGGCTGGGCAGAGCTGGGAGGGATGCAGCCAGAAGCCAGCAGGCCTAGGCTCGCCCTCCAAGGGGATGGAGTGAGAGGCTGGCTTCCTGCTCCTCCTCTCTATCAGCCGGCCAGGTAACGGCCTCAGGTCAGATCTTGGGGGACCCAAGGCTCAGCGAGCCTGAGCACACAGCAGGGGAGGGCCGTGCCCAGGTCACAGCAGCAGCTCCCCCCAGGGAGCGCCCAGGCCAGGAGACCCCAGGGAAGCAGGACGTGGCCTGGGCCTGACTCACACTCTGCTGGGCAGCTCCATCCACAGCTCTTCCTGCGCCCCTCCGAGATGCACTCCCAGATCCACCCACCGCCTCCCCATCTCTACCCAGGAAGGTGGCATCCATAGCCCTCTGACCACCTCCTAGGCCTGACACTGGGTCTCCTCAGCCGTCATAGCTCAGACCTGGGGCAGCAGCGGCCCTAAGTGCAGGAAACAAACAGCTGGAGACTTGCACTGCAGCTTCATTCATGGAGTTCCTCTGCTCAAACCCCTCAGAGAGCTGCCTCCACCCACGCTGCAAGCCTGGCATCACCTGAGGAAGGACCAGGTGTGCAGCTGGATGACCTGGGCTGTCCCAGCTCAGCCACATGGAGCCTGTGCCATTCCAGGGTGGGGGTGGGGGGCTGCCACCTCCCCAAGCCTCAGCTGGGTGGTGTGAGGACTGAGCTGCTAACAGGGTCCCGGGAATATTTGACACAGTGCAGCGGGGTGGGGAGGCTGGTAGCCAAGACAAGAGTTCCTTCCCTGCTCTCTGTCCCACCCCTACACCACCCAGGCTGACTATGGTCCATGGGACCCCAGGCCCCCTGCTGTTTGCCCTGTGCAGCCACAGAAGGGATGAGGAGGGTGGGGAGTGCAGGAAGTGCTTAGGACTCCAGAATAAAGAAGAAGAAAGGGCAGATCGAGCATTTGGGGAGCAAAGGCTCTGAGGAGTGGTGGGAAATGTCTGCAGAGAGCAAAGACTGGGCTGCGCCTGGGAGGAGGGTCCAGGCTGCCCCTGGTGGTCATGCCCAGCTTGGACCCATTCCCTCCCCCCAGGCCAGGACCAGGGTGCTGGGGCCCAGGAGAACAAGACCTCAGCTGCTGACCCACACGGAGCACCCACGGCTTCCTTCCCTGAGCCCTGAGCGTGCACCCCATCCCCAGGCTCAGGGTTCTGTAGGGGGAGAGCCTGGGGCAGCTCAGGGCGCGGGCCAACTGGTCACCTCCAGGATGTGACCACAGCTTCACCCTGACCTTTGTCCTTCTGCTCCTCTTGCCTTATCGCAGCGCCAGCATCCCAGCCTGTTTACTCAGCCGTCATCCCAGGACCAGCCTGTCTTCCTGGTGCAGCCCAGGTGGGTCTCACGGCTGAATCCTTCCTCCTGGGGTCTGGGTGGATGCAGTCCAGGGAGTCCCCAGTCCCCTCTGCACCTCAAGGAGCCCTTCCACCCCCCTCCTCCCGCCCCCAGACCCTCAGTCCCCTGCCTAGGAGTCTGTGTCACCTGCGGATCCCCACTAGGGGCCCTGGCCTTCACTCCAGGAAGGGTCCCGGGGCGGTAGCGGGCACCTGCACGCTCAGCTGTGTCTGCTCTGTCACCGCGGGGCCCGCACTCACCCATGTTGACGAAACTCATGACCAGGTCCGCGCGGCCCAGGCGTCGCTCAGGGGGCCCGGCGTCGTCGTCGTCGTCGCGGGCCATGGCACGATACAGGTCCAGCATGAAGAGCGGCGCCGACGCGGGCAGCCGGGAGGCGGCGGGTGGTGCGCGGGGCCGGGGCAGCCCGGGCAGCCCGAGCACCGCCAGGATCTCGCGCTGCATGTCGCGGCGCTCGCGCGCGCCCAGACGCCGCTGGGGACAGCCGGGCGGGGGGCGCGGGCCGGGGCCGCCGCCCAGGGTGCACAGTGCCAGGCCCAGGAGCCAGAGCGGCCCGGGGAGCGCGGCCATGGCGGGCCGGGCTGGGCGCTCAGCGGGCGTGCATCGGCTCCGCGGCTGGACCCGGGATGCCCCGACGGCGAGCGGCGGACCAGGCTCTACGGCAGGCGGGACTCGGAGGGCGCGGTGCCCCCGCGGCACCTGTCTCGGCTTGGGACTGTGTGGATGCGGCCGCCGCCCTCTAGGTTAGAGAATGCGTGTGAGGTGCTGCTGTCGCCAGTCCCTTTAGGGCCAGGTCGGCTGGGGCTGTGCCGGCGATCCCGCGGCACGATCTCCAGTGGCCTCAGCCGGCACTGCCGAGTGTATTTTCCTGGCCGCGCCCCAGCCAGGGCGAACCAATGAGGGAGTAAGGGCAGGACCGACGTGCGGAACCCACGCTCGGGAGAGGATCCTGCTGGCAGCAGGTATGGCCGGTGGTGACCAGTCCCAGGTGGGTGTGGATGGTCAGGGTCAGGAGTGTGCACCCCGGAGGATCAGCGTGGTCAGGGATCACCGTCGTCCTAGGATCCACGCCGTGTCCCCAGCCGCTGTTTACGCTATGGGGGGCGGCTCTGGGTCTGGAGACCGCAGTAGGGTTGCCGGGTCGCCCCGGGAAGCATGGGTTCTGCCGTCGTTCGGGGCGTCCTTGCCGAGGCCGGCGTCTAATCCTGGTGTGGGGAGGGAACCCACCTGCCGCTCCCGAGGCCCAGCGGCCCAGGCTGCAGGTCAGGTGGGGTGGGGCAGGGCTGGGCCCGAGGGTGGGGCGCTTTCTTTCATGGGCGCATCCCGCTCCCCTGCCTCCCAGGGCCGGCTCGCCTCCCTTGGGTGTGATGCTGCGGGCTACTCAGGAACTCCTCCACGCGCGATACCCGCTTGCTAGCAGGCGGTGCCCTGGTAGTGGTGGGGGCGACCCCGTAGTCCCTTGCTGAGTACTATACGGGTTCCGGAATGACCCCATCGCACGGGAAGCGACATCCACCTCCTGCTTCGCGTTTCCAGTCTCCCGGGAGCCGTGGGGCCCTCACCAATCCCCGGAGCCCCCTTTTGAGCGTCTTCTGGATATCACGGGCCGCTGCAGCTCGCAGGAGAATGATCCTCACGGAGACACAGCACACTTTTCTCCCCACCTTGATGCTGTTATGCCCTAGACTGCGCGGGAAAGGCTGGAAGAACCTGGCCTGGGAGACAGGAGAGGTAAGCTGCAGGAAGCGCTGCAGGAGAAGGGTGGTGGTGGTGATGGTGGTGGTGGTGGTGGTGGTAGTGGTGTGGTGTGTGTGTGTGTGTGCTGGGGTAGGTATCACCTAGCTTCCACTTCTTTCTTTCTTATTTATTGGCAAGTCATATATACAGACAGAAGGGGAGACAGAGAAAGATCTTCCATCTGCTGGTTCACTCTGAGCTAATCCGAAGACAGGAGTCAGGAGCCTCCTCTGGGTCTCCCACGCCGGTGTAGGGTCCCAAGGCTTTGGCTTTCCCAGTTGGATGGAGAGAGTTGGATGGAAAGTGGGGCATATGAACTGGTGCCCATATGGGATCCCAGCACGTGCAAGGTGAGGACTTTAGCCTCTAGGCTACCTACTGCTTCCTCTTCTTAACAGATGGATAAAGAGGTGAACGATGCTACCCCCAGGTGACATGCAGGTGGCGCTAGTCCAGGCAAGTAGGCAAGGAGGACAGGTTAGCTGTGCAGCAGAGCCTTGACTGTCACCAGACATAAAGGGCCTCTCGGGGTGGGCAAGGGCCCTGAGCACAAAATGATTATGGTGGATTCAAGATCAAACTCTAGGACCACTTCCAATCCAGTTCCCTGCAGATATGTCTGGGAAAACAGCGGGAGATGGCTTAGGTACTTTGTCTCTGTACCCACACGGTAGACCTGGGTAGAGTTCCAGGCTCCTGGCTTCAGCTTGCACCTGCCCTGTCTGTTGCACGTGTTTGGGCGAGTGAACCAGTAGTTGAAGATTTCTCCCTGCTCTTTCCTAATAAATCAATCTTTTAAAAAGGGCAAACCTCGAAGTAAGTGTATGATGCCTACCTAAATTATAATGTCTTTCTTTAGGTTTTAAATTTGAAATGCATGAGAGAGAGAGAGAGAGAGGAAAGAAAGAAAGAAAGAAAGAAAGAAAGAAAGAAAGAAAGAAAGGAAGGAAGGAAGGAAGGAAGGAAGGAAGGAAGGAAGGAAGGAAGGAAGGAAGGAAGGAAGGAAGGAAGGAAGGAAGGAAGGAAGGAAGGAAAGAAAGAAAGAAAGAAAGAAAGAAAGAAAGAAAGAAAGAAAGAAAGAAAGAAAGAAAGAAAGAAAGAAAGAAAGAAAGAAAGAAAGAAAGAAAGAAAGAAAGACAGCTTTCATCTGCCGGGACTGGGTCAGGCAGAAGCCAGGAACTGAAAGTTCCTTGCAACTCTCCCATTTGGGCAGGGACCCAAACGACTTGAGTCATCGCCTATTGTTTCCCAGGGTAGACATTAGCAGGAAGCTGAACCGGGAGCAGAGTCAGCATTGGATTGCAGAAACTGTCATGGGTGGAAGGACAGGCATCCATGCCGTGTAGGAGGCTGACTCCACAGGGGTAGGGGGCTGAGGTGGGGGCAGTGAATGGGGCTGACCCATGTCAGCGTGGCCGTCTCTGAATGTCATCCCTCCTGTACATTCTCTGCACCCCTGGACATTCCTCTGCAGCCCCCCTCTTGTGTCAGCTGGGACCTCAGATCTCTGGGGTGTCATGTTAGGGCTGAGTGGCTTCTTAGTACAGCAATCACTGTTCTCTTGTGAGCCGATAACAAGTTCTCTGCTTGTGACTCTGCATGCCCTTGAGCCTCCAAGGCAGGTTTCAGCCACTATAGGGTGCCCCCACCTGTGATCCAGTTTGGCAGCAACCACTTGGCTGCCCTGTGCTGTATCCCAAGCCAGAGATGATGGTGACAGGGCCCCATTCTGAGCAGCTCCTGCTGAACAAGGATGGACCAGTGAACAGTCACCTCCAAAGATGGTGTTAAAGCTGTGCTCCCACAGAAGGATAGCAAGAAGTGCCCACCAGGGTGAAGGAGCTGGACGGAGGGGGCAGGTCACATGTAAGTGGAATCCCTGAACACCAAACCGGAAGGGAACTGAGCTGGGGAAACTCAGAGAAAGTGGCATCCAAACAAGGGCTTTGCCAATCACAGCTGGGAGACCTGGGCAGGACAAGATGCTGCTTCACCTCAGACTGCATCTCCAGGCAGATGAGAGGGGTGGTTTTCAGGACCACAGGATTATGAGTGTTAAATGAGGAAGTCAAGGATATACAGCACTTGGCACCAACGCTGAAGAAAGCAAGCATTCAGTATGTGCCTGCTACTGTTACTCCGTCGTTCAAAGTCCCAACAGACACACACACGCATTTCTCTCAAAGATGCTGATCTTTTTTTCTGGCACCCATCTATCTCCTACTTAGTGTTGTACGCATCCATTGGCAGAATGGATGGCAGATCAATTTTCTGTAGGTGTCACTATCAACAGAACCCTTCAGGGCCACTTCCGTCCAGCTCCCTGCTTGTGGCCTGGGAAAGCAGCAGAGACCCCGCACTTGCACGGGAGGCCTGGAAGAGCCTCCTGGCTTCAGATCAGCTCAGTACTGACCATTGCGGCTACTTGGGGAATGAACCAGTGGATGGAAGATCTGTCTCTCCTTCACTCTGACCTTCCAATAAAATAAATAAATCTTACAAAGAAAGAAAACACAGTGACTGCATTTTACACTTTGAAATGATGAAGGCCACACAGACCTGCCCCACTGCCAGGTGGCCTAGAGGGTGGAGAGGATGTGGGTGAAGAAATGCATGCAGTATCAAGTTCTGGCAGCTGCAGGTGAGCAGGGGTTCCTTCAGAGCCCACGAGGCTGTGGGTGTCTAATCTCTGCCAGCTCTGGCCAACAAGCACCGATCTTGCAGGACTCTGGCGCCACAGGAGGAGGAAGGCCCAGTGCTCAGGCACACAGCGGCCTGAGTACCTTTTGGTGTTCCGGTTCTCCAACCCTTCCCTGCTGGTAGAGGTGGCTGCAATACTTATATAGCCAGGAAACCCCAAGAGCCAGGCTTGAGTGGACAGAAGACAGGACGCAAGGCCCACATGAGACCTCTGCTAGGTCTACAGTACCAGGGAAACCAGTCTCATCTCTTTGCTATCCCAGCTTCTCCTATGAAAGGCAGGTGCTGTCTGTGCCTCAGAATGTCGGCCAGGAACGTTGGCAGACGCAGCAAGCTGTCCTCATGCTCTCAAACACCAACCGTTTTCGTGACTTACTATACAACAATCTTCTTAGTGATAGGACAATACCTTACATATTTGTGTTAGCGATATCCAGGTTGTTTGTTGCCATGAGAAATAAAATTAACAAGGATAGGAATATACAAGAAAAATCTATTAATTAATTGCATAATTTATCCTTTGAGATATTTGAATAATGCATTTAAAGCACCTACAACACTATTATATACCCCAGGGTGACATTTAAATAACAGTTGAGAAAAAAAATCAGCAAATACAAACATTTGTTACTGCAAGCAATTTTAATACAAAAAGTGTGTCTTGTTTTTTAAACAGTTCATTGGTAGAGCTTCAATTTCTGCCTCAATTAAAACCAATTGAGATAATCACACAGCAACATGGTCGGAGCTGAAGAGTAACAGCAGCTAAAAAAACAGGAGCCCCGGATAGCCCCTCTTCACGGTCACTTGGTCAGTGGATTTCATCACTTACGGAAACGGCAGCAAACGAGACTGGTTAACAGGTGTGCTGGTGAACTCCGTGGGAAGGACGAGCAAGTGTCTGCCCTGAAGTCCATATTTTCAGAATCAGCTTGTGGGACTTGTTCCTCAGTTTGTGGGAAGTTGATCGACCATTTAATAAATAGCAAAAAATGCAGGTAAGCACATCTGTGATTCACAATGCCACCAAGGAGTCTCCCTTGCCAAGGGCATGGGTCCCGGTGAGCCCAGGAGTTAGTAGTGGTGGCCAGGCTGGCTGGGAAGTTATAAATCAGTTTAAAAATCCTAGTGTTGTGACGTTTTTTTGAACAGTTACATTTACCCCTGAATGCTAGCAGCTCTTCCTGTAAACAGCCAGTACTGAGACAGTATTCAGAGACAGTGTTGCCATGAGCTCCT